GGTAATTGAGATTAATACTTAATAATTATTCCTTTTTGTATAGTCTTATCATCAGGCAGTTCAAAATCAGCAACGAAAAATTAATATTGTGGAGCAAAACCTTGAAATTCACGCAAATTTCATGCCAAGTACGAGGTATTGACCTAAATAGACGGATAATTTTTATATTATGAAATTTAATAATGATATTATTCAATTCGTGGAAAAATTTTGTCATTATAGAAGTTTAATTTGTCGATATTTTATATATTTGCTTAAATTTTTTAGTGTACGCTCTCCAGATATAATTACAGCTATCGATGTACTTACTACAGGAAGATACCAAAGATTTCCAAAGGCGATTGAGGTACTGGAATTTGTAAATTTATTCTATTCTAGAAATTAATTTAAGAATTTTGAATTTATAAAAATAAATTTATAAAGGAGTACCTTGCTCCGAAGCCCTTGGCAGACAATGAAGTCAAAAAAGCCCTAGAGGAATTGAATAGTGTAATTGAATTACGAATGTTAACTGAAGAAGTAGTTCCTCCAGCTATGAGAAAATATCACGTGGATAATGGAAGGATAACATTTTTTGTCGAAAAAGAATTTAAAGTACGTGATTGGATTTAAAAGTTCTTTTTCAATAATAAAATTAATTCAAAAATGAGTTAACATAATTTTTATTTGATAATTACGAATAAACAGGTGGTGTTGACATTACTTGATCAAAAACCAAATTTCCCTTGGCATATAGTAGACCTTAAATTTCTAATCCAATCTGCTAATGATAGGCTCTATAGTGGTAATTATAAGCCTTATAATTCTGAAAATAGTTAATTTTGTAATAAATTATAAATTAAAATTTTTGAATCGCTATAGATATTGATTTATCTTTGCATGAAGTACAAACCAACTTTATTATACAAAGCGCTCAAATTAGATTATATCCAAAAAATCCACCACTACCGGAGCTGCCTTTATCGAGAGTTCCAGGAAATACGGAACAATCTACATTAAAGCCCGCGAGACCACTTCCCTTAATGGAATTATATGATTTTTTACACACATTTTGTTTAGATATGCAGCTCGATATTCTTTATCAGCAGGTAAACCTGATTTACAGTTATTTAGTTATAAGCTTAAATTCGTTCATATATCATATAAATAATTATTTGACTTCATAGGCGTATCGTTTGGCAGGGACGAGATGGGCAAACAACTTATTTTTGGAAACGGATGGAGCTCACCTTGAAGAACCACGTACTTTTCTTAGGGTTTATTATTGGAGGCTAGTAATGTTCAAATAATCATATTATTATGTTATATATTTTACAAATAAAGTCATTTTAATCTTTTCATTACTTTTAGAAGTGTGAAGTCTAGTTCTAATTTAGGTACATAAACGAAATACATATATCATTGTAAAAAGATTAAAGATTAACTAATATAATTTATTTTAATCTAAACAGCACAGAACCAAACAGCTCGACGAGTTAAAGGCGACGCAATTGAAATAACAATTGCAGAAGATATAACGAAGCGTTCCTTAATACATTCGTCAAGGTCAATGCTTTCAAAATCACATTGGTTAACTGATACTTCGCGTATCAAACCCGGCGTTTTGAACGACGGGCGTGGGTTAAATTATCCACATAAATTCTTGCAAGCTCGCTGGACCGGTTTAGCGGATGAAAACGCTGAGTGGACAGTTTTGGATTGGGAATTTGTGAGTTCATTTAATTTACTGTCTATTCGTTCGGCACATCAATAATTTGTATCAAAAATCTTGTTTAACTTGCTCTAACAAGCCTTGTTGGTCCATATGAAACTTAATATTTATTTGACCATCAGGATCCGACCAATTTGAGTTTTGAACATCTTTTACTATCTGTTACACAGAAACATGCCGAATCGGTTATTTTGGGTTTTAAAAATGCACTATCATCGCTTGAACTTGCTAAGAGTGTGTTCTCAGAGGAGGATTTAGAAATTATAGAAGGTTGTCAAGGTTGGTCCATTTTATCACATATTGACGTGAATTCATATATTTATTTGAGACCAGACAAAATATTTTTATATTTCTGATCTCATTCTTTTGAATAACGAAGAATTTCCTGATGATTTTATCGCCGATGATTCACCAATTTCTGACAATGTTGCAAAGAGATTCTTGAAGATCTCGTCATTGCGTGTATGGCTTTTTGGAGATAGATATGTTACTATCAGTATAGATATTAGGAGTGGCAGAATTATAATTGAAGAAAACAATAAAATTGATGATGAAGGTGAGCTCGTTTTTCAATATCATGAACTTAGTATTACTAAATTTGTTGGCAATTATTTTTTAATGTTTTTTAATTGGATTTAGAATTTATTAGAATGTGTGAAGATAAAATCAGCTCTGCACCAAGTGACGATAACTTCGTTCAAACACTTTGTTACCTAAAATCCAAATCCAGAATTGACCAAATTGAGAAGGCAGCTAAATATTTGCAGTTTGATATACATCGTGATCTGATATTGCGTAAGGAAGATCTCGATCAGCTGCGCACAAAACAACTCGCGTATTTTCGCTTCCCACAATATGATGATCACTTTCTAATCTGTGGGATTGTGGATGATGGTAGTTTGCATTACTGGTTAACCACTCTGAGGTACTTATAAATTAGTAATCGTGCATATGCTTGATGCTTTGTTAACTGGGCTCTTACAATTTTTTAGCCGAGAACCACCAGTGAAAAGATACATATTGGTAAAGGATGCAAAAGATCCTACTCATAAGCTGTCATCTATTGAACAAATATATCTAGAAGAAGAAAAAAATAGGTTTACAGATAAAACAAGTTTAGAATTACAAGAAAAACAAACTGTTAATGACGGAACCCATTGTGGGAAGCGAAGCTTTGAAGAAATTGGTGTTAAAGCAGAAGATTCATCATCGAGAAAAAGAAAGCTCATGAGAGCTAGTGCCGAGTAGGTTATCTTTTAAATGGTTTTATTCTGTAAAAATGACAACGTTATTAAATCTAATTTATAAACTTTCATATAGGCTTGAATATGAAATCGTACACCTTGCCAGGATTTCTGCTCTTTGTCGGTAAGTTAAGATTTTGCTTTATTTCATTTAGATGTATACCCAATCTCATTTGACACAATTATAATTTCATGCCGTGAAGTGCTCGTATATCTTACCTTAGAATGAAAAAACAGATCAAGTTGCATGACTTGTCATTTACTACTATACAGCCTGAAAAATCTCTCGAGTTTATCGATCCTGATTCTTCCATATCCTTAACTTCGTCTATACCAGTTTTGAAAATGGATGGAATTTCATTATTAGCCAAAATGCCAATAGCAATGGATAAGGCTTTGAATATTTTTGGAGACATTTATATTCGATTCGTTGGTTCTCGTTTATTAACAACTACAACGTGTTCGGTATTTATTCGTTCTTCTGTTATTTGGTGACTATTTATTTAAGTGATGCCAAGTCAAACCTCTGCAGCTAAACTTATCACCTTATCGGATTCGGTTCCTAAAAACTTCTTTGGCGTCACCCATTTATTATTTGTTTATTAATTTACTTTTTTGCAAATTTGCATAGGTAATAATGACAACACGTATAAAACCAAATAGCTTGCCAACAATAAACAATGCCGATTTATTAGGTTTGTATATTTATTTGAACATAACTTTTTAATAAAAGATAAATAGTATTATAGTGTTTCATCCTTTGGCAATAGCACATTAAATTGTATTATAGACTTATCCTTAGCTATTAAACATGGAAATAATGCTATTAACATAAACTGGTTATTTCTTAAAATATAAATCTTAACTTGATGTTTTTGTTTTGAATATATTAGACAACATTAGATACGATCCCATCTCTCAAGTTATATCTTTTAAATACGATGCTGAAGACACCTATATCAAAAACTTTCTTAGGGATTGGATAAATATAGTAATGATTTGTCAAGCCGCTTCTCAAGGTAATTGATTTGTTATCCGTAAGTTTACTAGACAAATTTACTGAATATTTCCTTTTATATATAAAGTGAGCTCACCTACGTGGGCAGATACCTCCATCAAAGTCGCACCCTTTAACTTTCAGACCGTTAAAGTCATATATTCACAGGTTGGATTTCGGGAAATCAAACTTCATGTAGTCTGCACCACTTAAATATCACAAAAGTTATATTTCTCATGATATCACAATTTGATTAATCGTATTGAGTCGTTGATACCATGTGATGCGATATTTGGATAGTGTGGACTATTCTAAATTTAATTTTGTATTTGGTTTTATATTGAGTTTAGATGGCTTGTTATATGTTTAACAAATATCAAATCGATTGTCTATTATTTTTAGGACTTATTTTTTGACATTAGCTGTAAGTCTGATCGATATTCGTTACAATTCGGTACTACTAGTACAACAAAGAATCGGAATCCACATCAACGGATAAGTACATATCTTCAAAATACTTTGAATTATGAATGTAACATCGGATCTTTAATCTCTGTAAGTTTGCATATCTAAAATTATTTGTATGCTTAAATGTTATATTAAAATTTTATTACTTTTAAGATATTGACACGGACGACACCTTTGTTTTCTGCTTTGGATGCGCTTGAAAAAGATAATGGAGGAAAGCGCGTTTTAAATATCATTCCTCGATCATCTCATCATATTCGTTTAATATGGTCACAACGGTAATGTCAATTAAAAATGTATATATATTTTTATGTACTATAAGTTAATAAATTTTGATTTCCAGGATGTTACCCTCCTTCACATCAGAACAATTTTCAAAGTATGGATTGGATATTGAAGTGAGAGAAGAAAACAAAATTTTTATATACGATACATCTCTAGATTCTAGAATTACTTCTTTAAAACGAATACCGCTATGGGAGAAGTTTTTTGAGTCAGTCACGTCTGGTGACATAAAAAATGATAACATTTCTATAAATGATTTTATCCCTTTATCGGAAGGTTTCGTTATTCCCATTGGTGATACGCATAAGATATTAGAATGGTTAGATAAACACATTCGTCAAGCATAAATACGTATATTACACATATTGGCTTCTCGTTGTGCTCGAGAATGTAAATAATTTCCCGCTTTGTATATATAAATATGCATCAAAATTTTTTAATACTAAATAAACAGCACAACACTGACCTAGAGTTTGGAACCGGGTTTAAGTATTTTAAATCCGGATTTATTTAATTTTTTTTAAAAAAATTTGATATTGGTATTTTACTGTATCAGTAAGGGTGTTAAAGTCCTTAGTCCTGTCAAGGACTAAACGGGATTGAACTGATGGAAGGGATTATTAACTTACCGATAGGAGTAAAGTAGTTACTCGCCAGAACAGTATGATTTGATTTTTATAATATATACGAAATTTAATAAACAGATGAAAAATACATTTATAAAAACGGCAATTTTTTCGTACATCAATTTATCTGAACCGTTACATGTCTGTAGAATTAAAATAAAAAATTTCAATTAAAGGTGGTAGTCAAGATATCCGTTTAAATTTTAACACAGTCAAATTTTGAATGAAGATAAATCAGCAGCAAATTCGATGAAAATTTATCAATTCTACAAGTCTAGGAAAAAAGTTCAGTTAAATTTTGTATTTAATAGGTGATTTTAACTCATTGTCAAATTCGAATGAAGATTATGAATGTACATAGGGTTACACGAACTGACTGTACTTCTGTACTTATGGAGAGTTAACTGTATACGTATCGATATATTAAATTTACCCGCTTTAGCATTATTGTTATAGTCTCTAAAAAAATTAGATGATATATAAGGGAAGCACCGTTTATTACGTAATTTTAAGAGGGAAAGTCCATCACCTACGTATACGTTGCATATAAATATTATTATTAGCTGCTAATTTGATCATCTAGAAGGGTCTGGCCTTATAATAAAAAGAAATTACGTAATCCCCTAAATAGCCTTCGCTTCAACGACAATTAGTTGTGGTTGAACCAGTTTGTTAGCTGTTTAGAATTTTCATAGTCGATTAATTCAGTCAATTACAGAACTAGTTGGTTTCTCAACTAACGCTATATCTGTAAATTCAAGATCGTATATCACATGATATCGCGCTAACGTTAATAATTGGTTTGAAATCACATGAGGTATCCGCTATCTGTCCTATCCAAATCCGAGTGTATAAAGTCAGCATATTTATTGTGAAGTCGCGTTTATCAACAGAACCCAATTATTTGAAATGAGTATTGTCAATATTACTAACATCCGAGTTCTCAATAATCCAACTCTTTTTACCGAAGACTATCAATTTGAAATTACTTTTGAATGCATTTCTCCACTACCAGACGGTAAGTTTCTAGAAAGCTCGACTGGCTCACCTTATCTTACGAATATCAAGAGTCGGATTCTGTTCATAATTCCTTAAAAGAACTATTTAATGATACTACACATGGAATTAATAAAAATCTAAGCTAACATGTTGGTTTGAATTAATAATAGACTTAGAATGGAAAATTATCTATGTCGGCTCCTCAGAAAGTGACCAATATGATCAAGTTCTTGATTGCATTATGGTAGGACCCGTTCCATCCGGAATTAATCAGTTTATATTCCAGGTATTGATTATTATTATTGGAATTACTTCTATGTATCTTAGGGGATTGAAAATTTAAAATTTATTTAATTTTTGTAGGCACCTGCGCCAAATCCTGATCGGATACCGCAAAGCGAAATCTTGGACGTTACTGTTATTATCATTACATGTTCTTATAATGATCAAGAATTTGTTCGTGTTGGGTACTACGTAAATAATGAGTACATTGAAGAAGAACTTCGGGAGAATCCACCAGAGAGAGTTGTACTAGATAAATTATATAGAAATATTTTAGCTGACAAGCCCAGGGTAACGAGAAGACCTATTAAATGGCAATGTGGTTGACTGGATGCTGCTAAAATTCTATTAGCAGTTAGGGAATATGTCACATAGAGTGATATTTTATAATAAATATTATAATAAAAACATATAAAATTTATGCTCCAGATTATTTTTCAACTTACATATTAACTTAATTTCGAATTTTAGAATCAAGATAGAACACTTTTAAAATTCCATAAAAATTGTAAATTTTCTTAATTAAATTTTATGAAAAGAAATTTTTTTAATTTTGAAGACGTAATTATATATAAAAATTTATGCTGAACAAGTTTGCTTACAAAATAAAAGTGGGTTATCTTGGTAAAAAAATAAGTTTGTATTTATTAAAGTTAAATTTTGTTTTTATATACAACTTTTTTTTTTTTTTTTACTAAGACAATTTATTTTTGTCTTCTAAGTAAACTTGTTTGAAACAAAATTTTACATATATATATTTGTTAAAATGTGATTTTTCAAATATTTTACTAAGTAAAAAATGGGATTAAAGTTAGAAAAAAATTTTTAAAAAAAAATTTTTCTTCTAACTTTAGCCTTATTTTTTATTTAGTAAAATATTCAAAAAAGCATATTTTAATAAATGTAAATGTAAAATTTTGTTTCAAACAAGTTTATTTTTTATTTTTTTTTTTTTTAATATTAAGGTGACTACTTAGGCCATTGGCATGAGCTTTATTCGGATAGTTACGATATTACATCAGATTCACGAGAATACAACTAGCCACACGTACATCTTTTGAGTATCTGATTTAAGTAGTCCGCCTGGGTTCTACACTAGCCACCATACCTGCAATCTAACTAGAAGATTACCTATTTAAGCTCTCTGGTTATTACTAACGAGAGTACGACTAGCTATAC